TTTTGTTTTCTTACCGCACTTCCAACAAGATCTATTCTATCAGTCGTGATCAAAGAAAACTATTGATCCGAAAGTTTGGTCATCAAACGAACTATCTGTCAGCAGTTTATTACGGAAATGTGTAATTGTACCGGTCCATTAATACACTGTACCATCAGTTGATGCGGTGAAAATCAGCTGTTTGATTTGTGTTACAAAATCGGTTCATTATTTTACATATATATGTTCTTTTTATGCAAAATTTTGACTGTAGCCTATTTAGCTTGGCGATCGGATCAACAAAATGATTGAGGTCGGTGGAACGTTGCTCGAGAAATCATCCGTCAAAAAGACAGAATTAAATCGCCGTGAACTTGTTATTCGTGACGATTTGGAAGATTTTTTTGATGAAGGTTTCGTATCATCATTTGGTTTACTCCACTGTTTGCCAGTCGCAGTCATCCCAAGCCATTTCGAGCATAGCGAAATAAATACAAAATAACACTACCTTGGTGCGCAGATCCCAAATTCTATCGTAGCTGCAGTGATTACCTAGTCTTGTTTACTTCAGATTTTGAATGTTTTTTCCAGGAATTGTGAATGATGAAAACGGTGAGGCGTGTCCACCAGCCGTTCTATTCCTGGCTTGCATTCTGCTCGGAGAAATCACAGCATTCCTAAGAGAGACGTTTCAGGTTAAACTTGCTCTTTTGATACTGAAAAGCACTATGGCATTGACACTCACAAATGTACTGATTTTTTTTCTCCACGTTTCTTTGACGTACGCCATAAATCTCTTTGCACCATTCATAGCCTCCATTTCGAAAGATTTTTTCTAGGCCTATATATAGCTATTTGCTACTTTCCCAAAATTTCAGCTTTCAGATGTTTTTATTTCTGAATTTGAATTGCCAGGAGATAGCACACATCAATACAGATATAAGGACATAAACGATCTTTATTTCTTGATTTACACAAAGATGCGCGAAAAATCGACGAATCTTTTGAAGACAATTCCGCGGACAAGAGGCGCCAGATCAGTTACAAGCACAGCAAATTGGGATAAGCTGATGTCCAACCGACGCTGGTCGATCCTTTCGAATACGTTCAGCCCGCAGCAACATCAGCAAACATCGAGCAGTATCCAAAGCATTGCTGATGTTAATCCTTCAATTCATCGTAATTTTTCTTCCTCATTCCGCT